GTTCAATACTTTTTCCCTGTGCCATTCCACATTATTACAAGTAACTTCTTTTCTGGGCATTTATGGTTTAGTTCTTTGTATGTATGGATCACTTGGGTTGTTACCAACATCTGGTGAAAATTTCATGTCATTAGCACCTCTAGTAATATATTTACTGAGAAAAATGGTGACGTGTTCAATAATTATTTTACCCGCTGTATATGGTCCACTTCAAATTCCATTATGTCTCATCATTAATTAACACTTAAATGTTACAAGGTTTGGGTATGTTTTATGTTGAAAACTTCAGGTGAAAATCTGCTTCATGTTTGCCCAAATTTATTTGATCTTGCCATTATGCAACAGGCTGACTGTGTTGATTAATTTGTAATTTTTTAATCATTTTTGTGAGGGTTGGCGAGAAGGTTTGGTAATTCGTGGAAATTAACTGAGTCAAGAGCAGGAAGTCTATATAAAGGGACATGTGTGGACAGAAAAGACAAACAACCATTCACTCTCTCACTCACCCTGAGGTACAATTTAGAGCTTCCTTCATTCAGACTCATTTCTAAAAATRTTTTTTGAGATTTTTTTAAAGGGAAGTTTTTATAATTCCTGTGCGGCCCAGAACCAAATGATCCATAGGCCAGTGCTGGCCTGTGACCCAGTGTTTGGAGACCCTTGCATGTCTTTMATTTTTTTTCTGCTTGTTTGAAAATAACAACAGTAATCCTAAACCTACTTTAAAATACTAAAACACTAAATTAGAMATTAAGATTGAGATATTTTAAGCTTTTTTTTACCATTAATAACTAGCAATGGCAAACAATATATTAGTGCCTATCAAATAAATAGACATTACCAGAGAAAATACTTACAATTGGATGTTCTTTTTCATGCGCAGCTAATCTCTTTTTTTCTGAGTGTGAAAATACATCGCATGTAAATTGAAACAGATAGGAAGCTGTTAGGCTTTCAGATCTTTGTTATGCCAAATGAGTGCAATTAGTCTGATGGATWAAATGTGCCTTTTCTTTTTTCCTATTGTTTCTGGGGAAAAAAAATACTTCTCAAATAAAAAACTGTATTATTTCTTAAAAAGGGGTTGTGCAAAATCTGTGGTAGCCATGTGGAGATGCTTAAACATGACAAACCTCATGAGCTCCTGCCCCACGAAGCACCCATCCCCCAAAGCATTGTTGTGAAGACGTGCTGAAGTGGGAGTGTTGGAAACGGTAGGTTCTCACACCAACAGAGGCCAATTTCAAAGTGTTTAGATTAGGTTATGAT